CCCGGCGGCTTGACTGGCGCCTGGGTCAACCGCGGCCCTTCTGTGTTCCTGCGCAGAGTGCGGTCGGCGCCCTGGTTTCTCCAAGCCCACAAAAATTGTGGGCGGCCTGGAAGCGTCCCGTGGGGAGGTGCCTTGGCAAGTCACCCTGAAGGAGGGTCTCCGGCACTTCTGTGGGGCCGCCATCATTGGGGAACGATGGCTGCTCTCGGCTGCACATTGCTTTGACCAGTAAGTGCCAGACTTGTGGGCGAGGCCCCCCGTGGCACAGGTCTCTTGGAGCTCCACCCAAGACGCCACCACGGCAGAGAGGGAGCTTCTGGAGGAAATGTCTCTCTGGGCATCTCCGTGGAGAGCAGGTCGTTTAGCAGCTGCTCTTGCAGAGTGGCAGCACTGCAGGAGGGGGCAGCAAGGAACTCCAGAGGGAGAGGTGCCCTACTGGGGCCGGGGCGCCCTCAGGACACCAGCGTGGTGCCAGCAGCCACCTGCAATCCCACACTGGATGCCCTCCGTGCCTGAGGCCGCCTTCCCCAAGGCAGGCCTGGTCCACCCAGCCTCATCACGAGGGTCCCGTCACACTCCCGGCAGCGGCAGCGATCCTGGTCAGCGGTCGGTGCAGAGCGCACACCCTGCCTCCGAACAAACGGGCATTTTTTCTGTCCCTGTGTTGACAGCACCAAGGTGGAGCACCTCACTGCCTTCGCAGGCACCGCCTCGCTGTCAGCCACGGACAACTCTTCCGTGAAGGCCGGCATCAAGCAGGTGGTGCTCCACCCTTCCTACAACCCCGCCCTGCTGGACTTCGACGTGGCGGTGCTGGAGCTGGCCAGGCCGCTGCCCTTCGGCAAATACATCCAGCCCATCTGCCTCCCGCTGGCCATCCACAAGTTCCCCGTGGGCAGGAAGTGCCTGATCTCAGGCTGGGGCAGCCTCCAGGATGGCAACGGTAGGGGTGCTTCCTCACTGCAGCCAGCCTCCCCCGCGCACAGCCTCAGAGCGGATGGGAAGCGGCAGGAGGCTCTGCTGTTTGGGCAGAAGAGGGCCCTCCTTGTGCGAGGGCAGACGGTCTGCAGGTATGTGCCCCACTGGGGAGGGCGCCTGCCTTGGCTCGGGGTCAGGGGTTCTGGGGCGGCTGGAGACGGGGCATGGGACCCAGGCGGCTTTTGGTCAGGCCTGTGAGTCCTCACCCTCCGGCTTGCGGGCTTTAGCCTCTCAGCCCGAGAACCTGCACCGGGCCTCCGTGGGGATCATCGAGCAGAAGATCTGCAGCACGCTCTACAACTTCTCCCTCTCCGACCGGATGATCTGCGCTGGGTTCCTGGAGGGGAAGGTGGACTCCTGCCAGGTACGAGGGGCACTTCTTCCCTATCCTGGCAGTTTCAGGACTGAGCCCCCCCAAAGGGGGAGGGGGGCGTAAAGGTGGAAGTATGTTTTGGAAAGATATTGCCGTTTTCTGACCGTGCTTTAGTTCTTTTCTGCATTTTTAGCAAAGGGAGCTTAAAGGATACACAACTTTCCCAGGCTGAGAAGTTCTGTGCTGAATTGACAAGGTTGTGTGCTAAACGTACAGCGGGTTGGGGCTGCGCACAGGGAGATGGACTCAACAGCGTTCCCCACCCCACCCTCCACACACACCAACAGCCTTTTAGTCAGAACAGTATCCGAGAGAGGTTCAGGAATAAAATGGGTTAGAAATGTGGGAAGCAAAACAGTGTCAAGATCCAGTTTAAATTGAAGCCGGCGAGAATCCCCAATTCAGGAGCCACCAAGCGGCCTGGACGCTGGCTTTGCAACCCGAGGGCTGAATCCCTTCAAGCCAGGCCTCCCCGATGATGTGGCTGCGGCTTTGGAGGATGCCCAGCCTGCCTTCCCTCGCTTGGGACGCCCATCCTTTGTCACAAGCAGCGGCAGAAGCTCTTTTGCCCCCAAGAGTGACACAGTTGGGATAATCAATGCCACAGTTTACCTGTTCGTAAACCCAGAGGGCCTCCAGGGCAACCCCCTGGCAGGCAGTTGGCTAAGATCTTCCCTCACGGAGGGGAGCCCATCCCCGCGTCCAGGGTCATTGCTCCCACTATCAAACAGCTCTAACCATTAGGGTGCGCTCCCTAACGTCCAACAGAAACCCGTCTTCCTATAAATCAAGTCCACGATTCACGTCCTCAACCCTAGGGTAATGAAAGGTCTGCCAGCAAACAACCAAGCTCAGAGCGCACCAAGGACTCCACAGTGGGGGCGCTGCCAGGCCCTGTTCCAGCTTCAGAGCTCTTCCAGTCTGTCTATAAAGGGAGGGAATCGCTGCAGCCACATCCCAGATCATATCGTCATATCCAAGGATCAGCGTGCACATACACTGCCAAGAGGGTGCTTCCTCTGCTTTCTCTTTCCAGGGGGATTCGGGGGGGCCACTGGCCTGCGAGGAGACCCCGGGCACCTTCTACTTGGCCGGGCTGGTGAGCTGGGGTGCTGGCTGCGCACAGGCCAAGAGGCCTGGCGTCTACGCCCGGATCACCAAGCTCAAGAGCTGGATCCTAGACGTCGTTTCGCCCTGTCTCAGCACGACGACACCGCTCAGATCCAGGACCGCCTCCAGCTCCATTGCCCCTACCTCCAGCTTGCCTCCCCTGGAGCAAAGGGCCACGTGGCTCAGCCCTAGCACCAGTGCCATCAGCTTGACCACACCCGGGCTGGCAGTCAGCACCCCCAAGGCCACCCAGCCGCCAGGTATGGGGCAGGAAGAAAAGGCTGAGCATGTAAGGATCAAGTAGATGGTGTGCAGACCAGTGAGGCAGAGAGTGAGCAGAGAGGACCCAGTGGGCTCTCCACTGCTGCAGTCACCTGCAACTGTGGGCCTGCCAGGAATCAGCCTCTGGGCAGAGCTGCCAGTCCTGAATCTACCGTGACATGGGCAGGAAGTGTTCAGGACGGGCCTGCCTTCCCCATTTAACCAGTAGCGGGCCAGGAATTCTGGTTCTCCGTGGGGAGAGGAGGCGGGCCTCTTGGCTGGACTAACCCCCTTGCTCCCCCAGCTGTGCCATGCACTCCCTCCACGTTCAAATGCTCCAGCAAAGTCTGCATTGGGAAAGTGAATCCGGAGTGTGACGGCGTTGTCGACTGTGCCAATGGCTGGGACGAGACCAACTGCAGTATGTACCGCTTCCCCAGCTAGCTGGTTTCTCCCTACAACGGATCCAGGCCCTCCTGTCTGCCTGCCCAGCTCCAGCCAGCCCCACTTTCTCAGGTGACAGCAGCTGGTCCAGCCAACCCCAGGCTGCAGGGAGCTTTTTGAAAAGGGGAGTGACATGGAGGCAGCAAAGGAGGAGAGTGGGAAGGGGTCCCTGCGTCTGAGGGAAGGAGGGAGAGGCTGCTGGCGCCTCTCCCATGACTGCCACTGGGCACCCACCATTGCAGGAAAGGAACAGCACCAAGATGCCACCTTAACCCTGCCATTCTCTCCAAAAGGGCCTGGCCGGGCGATTCGGCTGAGGCCCAGAGGGCACGATTTGGGCAGGGAGGGATCCAATGGCAGCACTTGGGGAGAAAGTGAAAGGAGGCAGCCCCAGAGCTGCTCCCAGGGCCCTTTTTTGTTGCAGCCAGAGCATGGCTGGAAACATGGCACCCAACTGGGGTTGCCCCTGGGAGTTGGGGAGAGAGCTGGGCTGGCCTATCCACACTTCAGCCCCTGTGTGGGCCTCTTCCCATTTTTTGGTAGACTGTGGCTTAACCCCAGCTGCAGCCTTGAGCAAGATCGTGGGGGGCAGTGGTGCAGCCCGGGGGGAGTGGCCGTGGCAGGCGAGCCTGTGGCTGCGGCGGAGACAGCACGCTTGCGGGGCCATCGTGATTGCCGAGCGGTGGCTGCTTTCGGCCGCTCACTGCTTCGACGTGTGAGTTGCGGGGACTGGAGAAGGGGGTGATGATCCAGGCCCTTCCAAGCCACCCCATTCTGTGACCAATTTGCCCCACCCTTGCCAGCCCCATAGCACAAGGTTGCCCTCGCCAGACCAGGTCTCTTCCCTTTGCCACTGGAATCCTTCCCCCATTGCTGCCACCCAGCCAGGCCAGCGGGCAAGGCACCGGGGGAGCTCCCTTGAGGCCTCTTGCAGAAGCAGCCTGGCAGGTTTGCCTCTTGCAGTTACAGCAACCCCAAGATGTGGGTGGCTGTCCTGGGGACACCCTTCCTGAGTAGCCTCGACGGGCAAGCGGAGAAGATTGCCCAAATCCACAGACACCCGTTCTACAACGGCTACATGCTGGACTACGACGTGGCCCTGCTGGAGCTGGCCTCTCCCCTGCGCTACACCAACACCATTAAGCCCATCTGCCTCCCAGACCGCACCCATGTCTTCAGCGAGGGCAGGCGCTGCACCATCACCGGCTGGGGCTCCACCAAGGAGGGGGGTACGGCTCGCCCACTACGCCTGGCTGAGGCTGGAGGCCTCGTCCCTGTGAGAGACGCTGGTTGAGGTCAAGCAACCTCCCATCAGGCCAAGCGCAGGCTTTGGGTGCTGCCCCGAGCTCTGCCTCGCTGGCAGGGCGTTCTCTAGCTCAGGTTGGAGGTGTGATGGGATGGTTGTGTCTTCTGCTGCCGCCAGGCCCCACGGCCACACGTTTGCAAAAGGCTGCCGTCCAGGTGATCGGAGAACAAGACTGCAGGAGGTTCTACCCTGCCCAGATCAGCAGCAGAATGCTTTGTGCGGGCTTCCCGCGGGGGGCCATCGACAGCTGCTCAGTGAGTGCCACGCAGCCCCCCCACACACACACACAGGGCAGGCAGGGCTAACTGGGGCCTGGCCTGGAAGGCAGCAGCGGGAGCAGCGCCCTTGTGGCTGCCAAGCCTGGCAGGGAGCATCAGTGCACCGGCATTTGCTCTGAAGGGGAGGGGAGGCACCCTTGGAAAGCTACCGCCCCCCACCTCCTCTTCACGTTTTCCTCTTCCTATGTAGGGCGACGCTGGTGGCCCCTTGGCCTGCAAAGAGCCTTCTGGCCGCTGGTTCCTGGCGGGCATCACCAGCTGGGGCTACGGCTGCGCACGGCCTCACTTCCCCGGGGTGTATGCCAAGGTTACGGCAGTCCGGGGCTGGATTGGACAGAACCTCAGGGCGTAACCCCGCTGCCCTCGGCCCAGCAGCGCCAGGGCCCACAGGGACCAACCGCCTCATGGTCCCAATCCTGCCGGAGCCCTTTCCTGAAAACAAGGAGATTCTACCAGACAAGGGTCTGTTCCAGCTGCAGGCAAATTAAATGAAAATAACCATTTGCACACTAGGAACTTGCACGAGGTTTCTCTGGGCCTGCTGGGAGGAGCTGGTTTCCATAACCCCCCTCACTCAGGAGAAGCACCCAGCAATGCTCACGAAAGCCTTGGGACTGGCATGGCCTCTCCCCCTCAGCAACGAGCAGACGGTGCTGCATGGGAGGAAATTAAGGCCCAAGGAGAGGCGCGTTAACCAGGATGATCTTCCTTGCACAGGCCCCACCGCCACTTCCTCTCTCCAGCCTCCAGACACCCCAAGCATTAATTAATGCCGCCCAATGCAGGAGCCCACTGAGTGGCAGGAGGGGCTGGGTTCACACAATGTGCTAAATCAGGATTAACACAACACACCCTCGCAGTTCACACAATGTGAACCAATAATCCATGTCTTGTCTCAGCCTTGTAATCTGCCCTTCCATGTGCCGTCCAACCCATCTTAGCTGAGCCCACTGGGCTGAGTCCAACCCACCTGCCCCATTTTATCCAAGGACACATGCTGGCAGCCTGGGGGTCCAGGGAAGCCTCCTCCAGCGCTGGCCAGCGGAAGAGTCCTGAAATAAGCCCCAGTGGCCCAACACATCAGGTTGTGAAGCTTCTCCATGCTCCCCAAAAGCAGAGAGGCAGCCTAGGGCATCCAGGAGATCAGCAACCTGCACCCATGCTTTGGGGTGGGGGTGTTGCCAAGCCAGAAAGCCCACCCCGGGTCAAGGGACCCAAAGAGGGCGTCAGGCCAGGGAGGTGGCCTTCGGCCGCAAGAAAGAGCCCAGCAGCAGAGAAGGGACAGCATAGGGCAGGCCTTTGAGCACCCCCAGCTCTACCCCAACCCTTCCAGCCTCGGGGCGTGCCAAGAGAAGAGCCTCGAAGGCCGGGCCTCGGCCACGCGGGCTGCAAGAGTGCCTCTGGGCTTCGGCTCCCGGAAGGCAGACGAGCAGCCCCCTCAAATTCAGAGACGCCTCCAAGCTTCTGGTAGTTGAAAAGACGAAGCGAGGACACTCTTCCCGCAGCAACATCAACCCCTCGAGGCTGCCCAGCCTTGCCTCCTGGGGGCTACAGACCCAAGGCTCTGACTCACACAGCCGCCGCCGCCGCCCCCGGCCACCGCTCAGGCCCCTGCAGGGCAAGCCAAGAGGACGACAGAGGGCACGTCTGGGGCCATCGCTTTAATGGCTGCCACGCCGACTAATGTACAGTCCGCTGCGCTGCGCTCTCCAAGGGCCCTTCCGGAGTCCCCGGGGCCCTGCCGCTGCTC